CCCCCCCACCCTCCTCCCGCCGCCTCACCCCGTTCCAACATTAAAGCGGAGCGGCCACTTCCTCCGCCCGGGCTCCGGCTCCCAGCAGTGGACCACTGGCTTGCTAGTCGGCATTAGGCTGGCATGACTGTGCCTTCCCGTGCGCTGTCGCAGAATTGCATTCAGCCCCTCCGCCTGGAGGACTCCTGCCTGGATAGTTATGAGGGCTTTAAGCCACTCAATAGTGCTGGGACTGATATTCGTTCATGCCTGGCAGGTGTGAGGATTGAGTAGTGTATTACAGACCAGCTCAGTGCTATAGCCTTCTCGACCGCCTCGGTGCTTCCATTGGAAGAAAGGACGTTGGAAGAAGGCAATGGATTTGAGGGCAACGTGCCTCTGCCAACTTGGACGAAGGAAGCTGGAGCTTCCTTGAGAGGCCAGGGTGATGAGGCCGCTTTGCCTCTGGGCCTTCGTGGCTAAACTGGAGGATCCATTGCCAGCCAAGCACCGTGAACCTAAGTTGAACATCACCACCTTTTGTAGGGGGAGGCGGCCCGCCTGGATGGGGAAGGGTTTGGAAATGGAGCAGGCAAGCAGCAGTGCCTGAACATTGGGACATCACGGCTGTCCTCTCGCCTCATTCACCCGTTGAGCATTCCCGTGCATCTGTTTTCCTACTGGGCAACTACGAGATTGGATGTTGATCCTTGGGCTCAACATGCCCATTGTCCACGCGCTCACTCCCTTGATCGAGCAGCGAATGGCGAAAAACCTCCCACAGGGTAGGTTTAGTCCCAATTGCCATATTTAGCGAGCTTTGAGCCCAGGGGCACGCGAGGGAAATACCTAATGGCCCAGGCAACCACGCGGAGGTCTCCTCAGCTAAGCTCTCCCAGGAGAGGCCTGAGAAGTAGAGAAGGGAAGGAAGGAAAAGTGTGTGAGCATTGGAATCCATTACTCACCGGTCACCTGCACCGTCTTGCGCATCCATGCATAGGGGCTGTGGCGGCTCCTGCTGGGGGAATTGGCGTCTGCGGTGCCGGCGTCGATGGGGACTAGCGACCGGCCAGCCGGGCCTGGCAGGCAGCCGCCGCTGCTTCCGCCGCCTACGGGGCCCAGGTTGCTGTAGTTGGGCAAGTCGAAAGCGGCGGGGCTCGAGGTCATGTCGTTCATGGGCACTGTGCCCATTGTACTGGACGGCCCAGGGTACGCGCTCCAGTCGTCTCGGGGGGGACTGTAGGGTGAGCCCCAGGCTCCCAGGGATGGCCCGTGAGGAGCCATGCCGGGCATATGGGGATACCCCACGTAGTGAGCGTAAGCCGGGGCTGCAGCAAAGTTGGAAGCTGGCAGCGGACTCCCACCGCCCCCAGTGCCGCCCGCCCCAGCTGTGCCGCTGCCCCCAGGGCTCCTGAGAGTGCCCGGGTACATGCCTGCTTCTTTCTCCAAAAGGCAGCTTCCGTACATGGTGGCTAGGACAGAAGGAAGGAGCTCCCTAAGCCATCCTGAGTTCCAAGGCTCCAACCCAACTTTGAGAAGCAGCGGAGAATAAATCTATCAGTAGGTAGTTGTGCAGCAAGCTCCTCTGCGCCCCTCAGACTACTCCATGCCACGTTTCCTACCCCGACGGTTTCCAGGTGACTGGTAGCCCTCTATAGATGGGCCACCAATGGTTGGGCTGACGTCAAGGGGCTTCAGGCTTTTACATAGCATTTGCATTCAAATGAAGGGCCATTTCACTTTCACAGGAACTTGTTCACTCTATGCTCCCTCTCCCCCAGGCTCGCTGCCTTTCTGTCTCCTCTTTCTTGATTCTGTCTCTCTGGTCCCCATAGTATCAGTCTTGCGCTTTTGGAGGCAGGAACTCCTCCAGGGATTTCTGACCAGCTCCCTCCAAAGTCAGAGAGATGAGCAGAAGCAGGGCAAAGTCCTGTTCTCTGTCTTTACACCGCAGCAGGCTCCTCCCTTTCACTGATCTTCCCAGGCTAAGCCTGCATCTTCCATCTCTCCTCTGC